TGGCCCTCCAGCAGACGCGCCACCAGCTCGTCGTATGTCGCGCGCGCGAAGAGCGCCGGCTGCTCTGCGACCGCACGCTCGAGGAACGTGCTGAGACTCGCGACGGCGTCGTTCCCACCGCTACGCGTAATGCCGTCGAGCCGCTGCAGCACGACGAGTGCGAGCAGGCACGCAAGCTGCACCTCCAGGGCGCGCGCATCCGAGGCGTAGCGCACCAGCATGCGGTAGCGCTTCTCTACGTACAGCTGCAGTACCTTCCTGTTACGCAGGCGCACCAGCAGATGGTACACCTCCTCGAAGCTGTCGCAGTCAGCCAGAATGTCCGTGGCGTGGCGGACGGCGCCGGTCTGGAGGAGAAACTTTCCCCGCAGCAGCTGCACGACATTCTTGCAGGGGGCGTCGCACTTGCAGAGCTGATAGGCAGCCTGGAAGAAACGCTTTCGAAGTAGCAGTGTCTCGTTGCTGTTTATTGCACGGGAAAGAAAGTGACGCCATTGCTGGCGGTGCTCTTGCTCCACCTGCAGTTCCCACAGAAGGTTTTTCCCGAAGAGGTACAACTTACGTGCTGCCATGTCTCGCACAATGCCACGCAACTCCGGTGGCTTTCTCGCATTGCGGAATGGATTGAAACACACCCTCTCCTCGATTTCGCAGGTGTACGTGCATTCGCCGTGCAACGTGGAGGATGCGCCACGCCACGTGAGGCCTGCGGGGTGATTCAGCACGACAAGACGATCGTCGTACAGCAGCACCATGTGGAAAGCCGTCAGCGCGACCTCCATTGCCATTTTTTCCCGCGGTAGTGCATGATAGCTGCGAGACGAAGAGGGGAGAGNGGCACTTGAGCCAGCTCCCACCCCAGCCACGGCAGCAACATGTTCTGGCTGCTTCACCCGCGTCAGTGCGATGAGTTGCTCATTCACCACGGTGCTTGCGTCACTCCAGCCAAAGAGTGCAGCCTCGCTCTCGCAGAGACCCTCGTCGATGCGGCGGTTCAGCAGTCCGTGCACAATTCCAGCTGCACTCGTCCACACGTACGACTGCGCCGGCAACCCAACACCGGGGCGGTACATCGTCAGCACGCCACGCGCCACCGAGTTGGGCGCTTCAGACACCTCGCGGAGGTGCAGCAGGCCGGGGTCGGAAGCAGCCGCGTCAAGCAGTGCAACAGGGCTATGCGCCTCGCCCTCTACGCGGTACAGTCGCGCGGGTGTCGACACGAACACGACCCAGAGCGCACTCACCCGCTCCGCCTGCACGGACGCCACCGGGCTCTGAAAGTTCACAGCGGGAAGCTGCAGCAACTGCCGGCAGGTCGGCTTGACAGCTCCGTCCGCTGACACTTCCAGCCTCACCTCGAAGAGAAAACCGCCGAGCTTCGTGCCGACGAGGCAGTGCACAGTTGCTGTTGCCGCTGCGGCTGCGTTGGCGTCGTCGGGCTCCTCT